CCGGCGGGGGGGGGGAGGGGGGCGTGGACGGATTCAGCGACTGTTCCATAAAAAATTTTACTCATTTATTTTCCTGGGGGCCACTCGGGGGCTGCCTGAAAGCCCGGGGAGTGATCTTGCTCAGCCTATTATATAATTTGCCCTTTGAATATGAGAGAATGGGAATGACAGGAATGTGGGGGGGGGTAGGATGGAGGGGGTGGGCAGTCATGATGATAAACACGGCCATTTGTCTTAAGAGGAAGTGGGGGAGTAAAGGCAGGGAGAAACCAAAGTGTGTCGAGTGGAGGTGTTAGAGCGGACGGTGCTGCTCTGACCTCCCGGCACGCATGCGGACGGCCCCGCATCTTCACAAAGCCAAACATAAGACAGGTTTCACAATTACGCAGCGGTCGATGCATCTCTGGCGCTTTCCACAGCCGCCTTTGCCCCCACGCTGGCGTCAGGCATTCTTATCGGACAGCACCGTGCAATTAGGCCCCCAGGAAAAGTGGCCGTTGCAGTTAAGATCTCAATCCGCTGCTCCCCACGAGACGAGCAAACGGCCGCGTCTGGCCAGCGTCGGAAAACCGAACGCTACGGCAAGCCCTCGCCGTCTTGATGTTGTAAATGTCGTGAACACCGTCACGAAGGAATGGATGGCCTCTTGTGGCGCATGCATCCTTTCGACTGGTTGGCGAAGAAACTCAAGCTCTGCGATGTGCAAAAGAATCTGTTTATGCCGCCGGATGCCGCTGTGATTATAAGCCGTTATTAGCGACTACAGCGAACTCTGTGAGCACAGAGGAAGGTTTGACCTTTTCTCGTCATTTAATGGAACTAGTTTTTATCTCCCGAAATTTACTTTGTGGTTCCCAATGTCAAAATAGTTATAACGACGCTATAAAGGTTTCATAAGAGCAGGTTGTGCCAGTTTATGACTGACGCCATAAAGGTAAAGCAGAGCAATTTACAGGTGTGATATTCTCCCTTTGTGTGTTTTATAGAAAATGGTATTTCTCTCGCCTGCTGCCGTCACGCCTTCCCAGGTGTTATTCCGGGATGTTCTGCCCGCCGCTCTGTGCAGCTCCTCGTCCCTCGGATTGAATCGTACGGAGCTGTGACTCACGTTCAGCTGTCGCGGATCTGAATGATAGGTGCGTTCTGAGTCAGCGCGGCGGGGAGTCTGAGTCAGCGCGGCAGGGAGTCTGAGTCAGCGTGTCGGAGGGAGGTGGCCCGGCCACCGCGACATCTGGGCTTGGGTTTGAACGTCGGCCCCCGGAGATGCGAATAGCAGTCAGGGACGGTCGGAGAGCATGGCGAGACGGCAGGATGGGAAAGGATGCAAGGGCCTGGTTCAGGGTCACGCAGTGCTTAGTACGGAGACCTCGCACCTCTGGAGATCAGGGTTCGAGTCTCCGCCCCAGTGCTATGTTTGCATGTTCCCTCTGCATCATCGTAAGGTTTCCACCGGGTACTCCGGTTTCCCCCCACAGTCCAAAAATATGCTGAGGCTAATTGGAGTTACTAAATTGCCCTTAGGTGTGCATGTGTGTATGAATGGTGTGTGAGTGTAGCCCTGCGATGTGCTGGCCCCCTATCCTTGGTTACTACTCGCCTTGCAGCCGTATTTTCCAGAATAGGCTCCGACCCCTGCAATCCCGCCTAGGAAAAGTGAAATCAGAAGCACAGCCTTGGATATCTGTGTTTGTGGAACCGGAGAATAAACCCATAGGGAAGCTGTTTGACTGATCAGTAATACTTTTGCCTCCTATTTGCATGACATCATATGACAATGCACTGGTGTGGCCCTCCGCCCCCCGCCCTCCGCCCCCCGCCCCCAAGGCTCCAGCTGTCAATTATGCATAAACGATCTCTGAAACTGACAGCGACACGCTTGGTTTGGAAAGCCAATATGTGCAATTAGCCTTGAACCTGCCCCCTCCCCCCCGCGGGCTGTCCGCTGGGCCTGCTCGAGGTGTGGGGTGTCGCTCGGCCGAGCCGCTTGGCGCTGATGAGCTTCTTCAGCGATCTGGCACCTTGCCACACCCCTCGCATGCCAGAGCGGGCCACGAGATTGGTCAGGCGGTTCAGGTGCCAGAATTCCAGCCAGGCAGGAACACCACGGCTGAAGGACTTATTTTTAAAACGTAAAGACTGTGAATGGAACAATAAATCATTCCTTACACGAAAAAGAAACTGAAACCTTTCATTAGGGCATACAGCACTTTGCCGTCCTGTTTACATATTTCAAAGGAAGCGGTGTGGCAGAGAGGGGGGGCAGTGGCCCCAAGTCAGGCGCAGGTGTAGCAACAGAGACAGAAGTGTGGAGGTATGGTGCAGCGGCGGAGAAGTGATATATGGGGTTCACAGACGGGGTTATGGCTTATGGATAAGAGTTCATATGAAAGGGGCGTGGCTTTTAAGCAGAGGTCTGATATACAAGTGGGGGAATGACATACATGTAGGGGCGTGGTTCATATGAAAGAGGCGTGGCTCTCAAGCAGAGGTCTGATATACAAGTGGGGGAATGACACACATGTAGGGGCGTGGTTCATATGAAAGAGGCGTGGCTCTCAAGCAGAGGTCTGATATACAAGTGGGGGAATGACATACATGTAGGGGCGTGGTTCATATGAAAGAGGCGTGGCTCTCAAGCAGAGGTCTGATATACAAGTGGGGGAATGACACACATGTAGGGGCGTGGTTCATATGAAAGGGACGTGGCTCTCAAGCAGTGGACATGATTTATAAGCTGGGGGCTAGCTCATAGGCAGGGGCGTGCTTCATATAGAAAGGCATGGCTCACAAGCATGGATGCGGTTTACAGGCACGGGTGTGGTTTACAGGCATGGGCGTGGCTTAGACACATGGGTGTGGCTTAGAGGCATGGGCGTGGTTTACAGATCGGGGAGTGTCCTTCTTATCTCTCTTATGGGGAAAAACAAGAAAGTCCCCCTTAAAAAAAGAGAAGAAGAGACACTTTATTTATGTATTTTCTGCACGCCTGAGTAGTGATGCAGTCAGCTACATCTGGGTTTTTCCACCTTGTCTGTAATGCCCCTGGGGCGACCGGGAAGATGAAGAACAGCGGCGCGTCCCGGAAGAGGCTGACCGCTGTCCGTGGTGCTGAACGAGCTTCCAGCCACAGCGGGCTGGATCCACAGCTCTCCGCTCGCTCTCTCTCCGCCTGTAATGTCTTTAACACCCCTGGGTCACAAAGGCCAGTTTATGGTTTTCCATTTTAATAAAAAGCAGCTGCACAGGTCCATCATCAGGGCCGCATGTGTGGGGAGCCGAATAAATCGCTGACACTCCTGCTTAAAGACCGCGCTGTTTGTCTAGGAACAGAGTTCTTATATACAGCACGTATGATTACTGAGCGGTGATTAGGGGTGTGATAAGACCTGCGCAACGGTGATTATGGGTGATTTTAAAAAGTCTTCAGTTTATGCTAAATAAGGCACCCCGTTAAGAAGCATTAATGAAAGTACAGATCCTGGCAAATCCTACCAGAATGCTTTGCTGCTGCAGCGCACCACACCCCATACTGTTGTCGAGTTCTGATCCAGCCTGGTACCGTCTCATCATTGACAGATGCCCACTGGCGCTCCCACCCCAGAAACAGCTCTGTGGTCGAGGTCCGGAGGGTAACGTTCACGCCTCCTAGTTGGCAGACAGATCCGTCTTATTCGAAGCCAATAAGCCTGGGGTGAGATGGAGATTAAATATTGTGGGGATTTGAGGGGTGGATCCTGGGGGTGGAGCCTAAGGGGCGGAGCCTGGAGGTGGAGCCTAAGGGGCGGAGTCTTGGAACGGGTGGGTGCCTCTCTGTTTCGGCTATATTTCAGCCCACGGGAGAAAACTTAAAAGCTTTTGCCGCTGTGTGTCACCTTAGATGAAATAAACAGCTTTTGATTTTTTTTTTTTTCATTCTAACAAACACCTGGCGTTTCCAAGCACCAAAGTCGCTACCGGACCTTACGAGCTGCAGAAAGGTCGCTGTCAATCACTCCCACCCCCCACACATGTGAACGCCGTGCCAGACGTCACCCCCAAGCTCGCGATGCCGAGAGCTCTGCGCTCAGAGGAAGGGCGCCGCTAATGGGAAGCTTTTTGCACCTCAGAATCACACTCACTTTGGCTCACGGCTTTAAATGACGAATGGATTTCCGTGCTCGTTCCCCTTAATGCGATTCACTCTGTTTTTTCTGTTCCATTTGTGTGCACATCCTTACCATCA